TCTTGAAGCTGGTACTATCGACTGATAGCCGAGATGTGAAGGACTTTGTCCTGCTGCAGATCCTCTATCAGCTGAGCATGATTTGGTGTCCAAGCAGTATTTTCAGCGTTCCTAGGCATTTATTTAAGTACATCGACAGCATCAAACAGGCCAATAACACTGCTTGGGGGACCTATATATTCAGTGAGACATCTGACGCGATAGAGAGGGCACTGAAGGGTCCTGAACCAGGGAAGACGACTTTATATCTGCAAGGGTGTACCCCTCTAGTTTGTGTAAGTAATCATGTCTTTTATTACTGATTGTGAAGGTTAGGGTTTAGTTATAAATGTTACAGTTTGATTGTCAAGGTTATGGTTTGGTTGTTAATATTACGGTTTGGTTGTTAAGATTACGTTTTTATTGTTAGGTTTTCTTATTAATTATTACGGATAAAGATGTTTGTTAAGTTTTTATTTCTCTAATATGCAGTTGTGGTATTATGAACTTACCGGCATCAAGAAGCCAGCAGTTGGATGTACGGTGAGGCCTCCCCTCACAAATTAGGTGAGATTTGGAGAGGTTGCTGGTTCTTTGAGATTGACCACTGTTGTAGCTAAAGCAAGCAAAGCTACGATAAAGCTTCCACAGCAACATGGCCAATTTCAAAGAATCGAGGAAGGTTTGTGGGGGAAGGAGCAGGGGAAAGAGAAAGAGAAGATGAGAGAGAGAGAGAGAGAGAGAGAGAGAGAGAGAGAGAGAGAGAGAAGAGGAGGATTAAGGGTAAGGCTGCAGTAGACGTCGGCAGGGCGCGTGGCCCAAGACACCTTCTTCACAAGAAGAAGAAAGGAGCAGAAGATGACATCCCAATTGATGCAGATGTAAGAATTTAGCAGTTGTGAATTTTATTTGTTTTTAATTAATTAATTCTTCTAATAATACTTTATCTGTCCATTGCATAGGTGATACCACAGGATATTGATGAAGACGTCGAGCAGCCAAATGAGGCAGTTAAGAAAATGGAATGGCCTCAGCAAGTGATCTACTGGAAGAGCATTGCGTCAATGAACCAAACATTACGTCGAGAAAACAAGAATAAATTCAAGGGTATGATTGCTGCCGACCGTATAAAGATAAGTGCTCTTTCTGTGAAGGTGGCTAAGCTGTCAGCTCAAAATAGGAGACTGAGAGAGGAACTAAGCGAAGCACAATCTAGAACCCTCTCTGTATATAAGGATAAGAGGCCTACAGGATTGGTGCTCAGCTCATCGATGGAGCCGCAAACTTGTACATGTTAGATGTGGCTTGCAATTACGTTTACGTGTTATGTTTAAAGATTGATTGTTAAGTATATGGATTTTTTGTTAAGGTTAAGAATTTATTGTTAACTTTATAGATCTAATGTTAAGGTTACGGATTAATTGCCAAGGTTAGAGATTGATTGTTAAGTATCTGGTTTAGTTGTTAGGGTTATGTAATTAATGCTATGTCTTTTTTGACAATGAAGTACCTAAGCTCATTTGTTTACTTTTTGAATCAGACACTCCAGGCACCGTGGGTGGCATTGATATACAGTACGAGGGGGATGTTAACCAATCATTTTTTGATGAAGCTAATAAGGAGAGCGATGACCCTCCAACAGGGAGGGCCTCTCCACAACCATTTTTTTCTGATATCAACAAGGAGAGTGAAGATGCTCCGCCAGGGGGAAGTACCTCCACCAGAGAACTATCGCATTGATACGATTCTTAAAGCAAAAATAAACGAGGGAGAGAATGTGTCCCCGCTAGCGAAGGAGCTGCTAACTTGTACAGATCAGCTTTCTTATGCACTATACGTTAGAGATTGCTTGTTATGTCTACGTATTGGTTGTTAAGTTTTTGATTATTTATACTCTGAATATTATCAGAAACAGGCACTCAACGTGAGGGCACTGGAAGGGAAATAACGTCGGTGGTTGATGTCCCTTCTACAGGACATGATACGGAGACGCAAACTTGTATAAGTTAGCAACTTTTTCACCATATATTTAGGCATTTGTTGTTAGGGTTACTTTGAAATTGTTAAGTTTAGATAAATGAGACTAAGTTTTCTCAATATTTATACTTCGAATGGATTGTTTGGAAACAAACACTCTAAGAGAGGACACTGGGAGGGAAATAAAGCAATCAGAGGATGCCCCTCCACCAGCACCTGACACATCAACTGAGGACGAAGATGTTTCTATTGGGTTTTCAAAGGTTTTGAATAAGAGAAAGAGGGGTGCAAAGGGGGTACGCGAGAAGGTGTCCACTGCTGCACCCCTTAAAGGGAAGAGATGCAGAAAAACGGTGAAGCCTTCCAAGTGGGTAGTCACCCCTTACACTGAGGGGAAGAAGAAAGAAAAAGACAACATAGGTGACAAGGCTATAATAAAAGTGGCTGGGGAGGAGGAAGAGCAAGTGTAGAAAAAGGTAGCAGAGTTGGCTTCTGCTTGGCTACAAAGTGTCCCCCACTCTATCTGGGAAAAACACATAAGTTCCTCTATGAGTTCAGAAGAAGAAATGTGAAGGAATAAGCTGAATGAGGGGATTCCCTTTCCAGGGGGCTTCATCATCAAGTTTTTGGGTAGTAAGGACACATTTGTACATAATTATAAGGTGTCAGCAGATGTTGCCGCGCTGCTGACGGAAGAGGAGAAAAAAAAACTCTCAACCATTTTTGCATTTGTAGATGTAACAAGTAAGTAATATTATCTCATATCACAATTTTTTACAGCTTCGCTTTTAAGGTTATCAATTAGTTGTTAGGGTTCCTCCTATGTTAATAAGGTTACAGGTTTTATGTTAAGGTTACGGGTTTGTTGTTTAGGTTAAGGGTTTTTTGTTATAGTTATTGATTTCTTGTTAATGTTACGTGTTTATTGTTAAGGTTACGGGTTTGATGTTAAGGTTATGGGTTTGTTGTTATGGTTATAGGTTTTTTGTTATGGTTATTGATTTGTTGTTTAGGTTACGGGTTTTTTGTTATAGTTATTGATTTGTTGTTAAGGTTACGTGTTTGTTGTTAATGTTACGGGTTTGATGTTAAGGTTACGGGTTTGTTGTTATGGTTACGGGTTTTTTTTTTGTTATGGTTATTGATTTGTTAAAGTTATAGACCTGTTGTTAAATTTACTGGTTTGTTCTTGCTGTTAATTGTTAGTTGCTAACTATAATTTTTTTGTCCCTATTTACAGTTTTATTAAAGCGTACACCGGATCAGCGGGGTCTATTACCCGGCTTGAGATCCTCAATATATTACGCGGTGGGCGACTGAACGATGCAGTAAGATTTTTGATTGGCAATTATTGATTAGCATATTTAACAATACTATTATTAATTACTTGTTGTTAACTTATTATAGCTTGTTGATACGCTTCGTCCAATATAAAATTTAGGGTGGTCCCTGTTTGGTTTAGTGTAAGTTTATGTCTGGCGTGGCGTACTCCTACCTATCAGCACATAATCTATGTTAAAAGGAACCTGATCGAGTTAATTCTTTATTGCAGCACCAGATACATGTGGCGAAACCAGATTACCAAGAACTGTACCATATCTATATTAAACACTTGGTCGATGCAGGATGTACTAACCTCTTAGTTCCCATTGTCTAGGACGATCATTGGCATCTACTGGAGTTTGATGTCGAAAATGATATTGTCAGGCATTACGACTCCTTGAAGGAGAGATCTGTACATTGGGAGCACGTGCTCAATATTGTCAAAGCCTTCAACTACATTAAAGCTGGCTTCGATGAGAACCAATTGTAGAGCGTATTCGACCCAATCAAAGTTCCATGCGAGGAGCAAAAAGGGTCGTAAGTTTACCGAAACCCTTGTTGGAATTCAATGCTGAAAACTGGCTGTTAAGGTTACGAGTTTGTTGTTATGTTTTGCTTGAAAGTAACAGTGGTCTCAATGGAGGATTGTTTTTGTGTGCAGGTATGACTGTGGGATCTACGTCTACCAGTTCGTAAAAGCGATTATCGAAGGTAGATATGTCCTCCACGTCACGCCCGTAGAGCATAACACATGGGTGGTACGTGCGAATCTAGCATCGTATTTACTGATTGAAGGCAGAAAGAGGAAAGAAGATGCAGGAAAACTTGACGATGATGACGCGGAGATGTAGAGTTTTTGTAAATGATATATTACAATTCTTTGTTAATAACAATTTACATGTAAATGTTATAAATATAAAGGTTAACATCGCAAGGATAACTTATGATCTATCTGTCAAGGTTATGGTCTGATTGTCAATCTTATCGATTTATTGTTATGTTTCGCGTTGTATTGTTAAGTTTGTGGATTGTTTGTTAAGTTTAGCTCGTGGTTGTCAAAGATTAAAATTAAAACTCAATCCGTAACCTCAAACACAAACCCAAGAATTCAACAAACAACAAACCAAAGAACTATAAGTTCAACAACACAACGCAAAATAAGCCCAAAGCTTAACGACAAACCCCAAGGGATAATATTAACAGCAAACCCATGAGTTCAACAACAAAACCGTAACCTCATCAACAAACACCAAAGCTTAACAATATACTAACCTTAACAACAAACGTCAAGCCAAAAGGCTAAAACGGAACAGCAACCCCGTAACCCTAACAATCAAGGAACCATAAGCTCAACAACACAACGCAAAACAGTAAGCCCAAGGCCTAACATCACACACCCAATGGGGAAACCTTAACAGCAAACCCACGAGGTTAACAACAAACACGTAAACTTAACAACCAGCCCCTAAGCTTAACATCAAACCCATGGCTATTTACAGTTAACAAAGGTATAATCATTTCGAAAAGTGTATCATAAATTAATAGGTTGTTAACAGAGCGTATCATCATCAAGTTAAGCAAAACATAAGGGAATTTACAATTGATGATAACCTAGGGGCCGACTGCTCCTCCCCCGGTCCCCTTGCTCGAAGCGCAATCGTGGGAGAAACCCCTGTCACGAGGAAGGGTAGACCCCCAACACCTTGGGTCTGAAGAAATTGTTACCAAAGTTCTTTCTGCACCATCATTTGTCTGCCGTCCCAAGTCACTTCAATCAATTCCGGGTCGGCGTGAGGAGGCTGCGTACGCTGGCTTTGAGGTTGGTCAACAGACATGTCGATGGGACCAGCCTCATTGTTTGCCTGCTGCTCACCGTCCCGACCTACAATCTGAGTAATGACGAAACCTTCCATCAGACAAAGGTTCATGGGAGAGGTGTAATGAAACCTAATCCTCTTAGGGACATCTGAATATTCCCTAATCTCTAGGAGCACCCTGCAGTCTTTAAAGTTTGTTTTCGTGGTGACGTCAGCGGAGCAGTACACGCATTGGCCGATGCCCTCGAACAGTGATTGGAGGAACTCCCACTCCCACAACCATTCCCACTACGGGTATACATTTACTTTAGCAAATCAAATTGTCGTATACATTTAATGTCAGGTCGAAACTTTGACAACCAATCTATAAGATTAACAATAAAACTCCATACGTAACAATAAACAGGTAAACTTAACAACCAGTCAATAAAGGTGACAGCCAATCCATAATCTTTTTGATAAAATGATAAACTTAACAAAACAACCTTGTATCAAGAAATAATTTTCTTTACAACCATGCTACAACCTTAAAACAAACAAATAAGCTTATCAACAACCCCGTAAACTAAACAACAAATCCCTAAGCTCAACAACACGATGATAACTGCATGTACAACCATTGTCTCTGTTCTAAGTTTCATAACTGTGGGTGAATATAGCTGACTCCCTTCAATGAGCTTGTACAATAACAAGACAGTTAAGATTCATAAGTGCGTGGAATACAATCAATTCGCTTGGATCAATGCGTGAATCACCTAGGAAGGCATGCATATGCTGGTGGAGATAATCCTCTGGCTTACGTTTACACTGTATAGCTATACAGTGTTAACGTAAGCCAGAGGACTATCTCCACCAGCATATGTCTGCCTTCCCATGTGATTCATGCATGACCCATCTGAATTGATTGTATTCACTGCACTTATGAATCATAACTGGGCGTTAATGTACAAACTCTTTGGAGAAAGCCACATACATTTATCCACAACTCATGGAACTAAGAACAAAAACATAAGGGGATAACATCTTCATCAGCATGAGGGATATCCAAGATCTTCATCAGTGTGCGCAAACCTTGTCGCTATGACCTTCATCGGCGTGAGGACTAGCGTTGATCTTCTGGTTAATGGTGAAAGGAAAACTTGAAGGTTTTGGGCAGAGGGTATAAGCTTGGGCTTCACATATAAAGGATAGAGGGCCAACAGAGAGTCAGCGATGGGGAGATCGAGGAAAGATTGCGCCGAAAGGATATCTAACCTATCATGTAGTTGAACAGGCGAAGGGATGGTGATGTTGCCACATGGGATGTGGGGATAGGTAGGAGTACAGATTATATTAACTCTCCTCCATAGGAACTAGGAGGAACATTGAATGCAGTAGCAGAGAATATACCCCGGTGATCGTGACAACCACGCGCAAGTGAATAACAGTAAGGGACTAACAGTAAACATAGCATTCAATCGATAAACCTAACAACCAAATAGTAACCTTAATAGCCAATCCATGGCCTTAACATTTGTAACGATATACCTGACAACAAATCCATGTACATGATAATAAAACGCTAAACTATATAGGCTCGTTACAGCGGAGATTTCTTGGATTCTGACTGTATAATAACATCAACCATTTGAATGCTAATAACCTTATCTATTCCCCATTGTCAATTCTCTAAGTTCCATAACCTGTGCTTGAATATAAATTGCTTTCACCAAAAAGCTTTCCAGCAGCCTGGTAAGTTCACGAAAAGCTCTTTGGAGAAAGCAATTTATATTCAAGCCCATCTGATGGAACTTAGAGAAAATAACAGTGGAGAATAGATAAAGGTAATAATATTCAAAAAAGATTGATGCTATTATATGGTCAGAACCCAGAAATATTGAAGATGTCTTCATCAGCGTGAGGGCTAGCCGTGATCTTCTGGTTTATGAGATTGGAGAGGGGAGAGCATAGGATGATCGAGAAAAGAGTGAGGACAAATAGAGTGGCGGTGATGGGAAGATAAAGAAGATGTAAATGTGAGGAGAAAGGTTATAGGCTGGTTCTGTATTGGAACAAGCCGAGGGATGGTGAGATAACTCTACTGCCTTGGGAACTATGAAATGCATTGAATGCAGTCAAATCAAAATATCTCGGTAACCTTAACAGCCAATTGCAAGTGAATAATAGTAACCTTAACATTAAAGTGATAAACTTGACAACCAAGTAATAACCTTAACAACCAAGTCATAAACTTAACAATTTTAACGATATACTTGACAATTTAAACAATCGGTGACACTGACAACCAAGTGCAAGTGGATAACAGTAAACTTAACATTCAATCGTTAAACATATCAACCAAGTCAAAACTTTAACAAACAAGTCATAAACTTGATAACCAAATAGTAACCTTAACAACCAAGCAATGACCTTATCACTTGTAACGATATACATGACAACAAATCCATATACATGATAATAAAACGCTAAACTATATAGGCTCGTTACAGGTTGCACGATTGTGACCCTCCACGTTGCATCAAGAGCACTTAACAGGACGGGTGTTCAGCGACCTGTTGTTTATTCGTCTAGGGCATGGTCTGCCACGTCTTTTTTTGGTGAGAGGAGGCTTTAACACTCGCTCTTCTGGCAGTACAAAGCGCTTCTCGTAATCTGGGATGAGAAAGATAATCGGTGCATAACTTGCTTTGAATGCGTCAACAATCATGTACCAATCACAATATTGATAAATTTCTCGTCCCATCCATATAATTACAGCGCACACATGTTTGCAAGGAATGCGGGTGATGTCCCAGGACCTGCAAGAACAAGTCTGGTTCTTCAAATCTACACGGCAAGTTTTATTAGACTCGACCTCCATAATATATTCCGTCGAATGTTTAATCGCCAAACAGCTACCATGCTGAATATTATCACACAACACCATCTCCGCTTCCGAGCATAAGTATCCAGACCATTTCTGACCCACTAGCCTCCTTTCATGCATGCGCTCCATTATTTGCTTCCGTATGGTCTCAACCAAAGGTAAGATTCGTAACAATCGTGCCTTTCTTATCCAGCTGTTGAAGGACTCAACAACGTTTGAAGTAACATGGCCATACCTTAACAACAAAACACTAACATTAACAATAAAACCATAAAGTAAACATTAAAGGCCAAACCTTAACAACAAATATTCTAAACTTAACAGCAAAACCCTAGCAGAATAACTCTAACCATAACAATAAAAATCTAACCTTAACAGAAAACTGTAGGATAACTCTAACCTAAACAACTATAATGGTGCTGTAACAAAATAAAGTTGAAACCAAGCTATCTTACCTTATACCAGGAAAATGCGCGTTTGCCATCTCTCCGGGGAGTATCCCATTACAGTGACGTAAGCCCTGTGATCGATCGCTGTCAATTCTTTCATGTCATTATCCATTCAGATATTGTGAACTTATAAGTCGCAGATTGTAACAGCTCGCCCAATGTAGTCGCGACATTTGCCTTGTGCCCAAAATCCTTCATCTTCTTTTTGAAATTCTCGACTAGATGCAGAACACACCTTGAATGGAATGCATCTGGAAAGAATTCCTCGACTGCTGCCCTAATACCCTTGTCGGCGTCGGAAATCATTACCAGTCGATGTGGAGATTGGTATGGATTTTCCCTATCATACAGTAACGTTCATAATCCTTGTAAGAACCATTTCCAGTTAACCTCATTCTCTTGGTCGCATACGCAATAAGCAAGAGGAAATATTCCCTAGTTGCCGTCATACCCAGTAGCACTAAGTAGTATGCCTCTGTAACGATCTTTAATAAATGTTCCATCCAAAAACAATAGAGACCTACACCCAGCAATGAACCCTTCAATACATGCATTATAACTAATGAACAATCGCCTGAACCTCCCGTCATCAGCATCAATAACAACACGACTCCCTGGATTAGTTGCATGCACCATGGATTCATACCTGCATGAATATAACAACAAAGTAGTACATTTAGCAACTGAGATATAACCATAACAACTGATCTTCAAACTTCACGACCAACACGTATACTTAACGACGAACCAACAACTTTAACAACTAATACGTATAGTTAGCAACCAAAACGTAAGTAGTAAATTTAGCAACAGATTCATAACCATAACAACTGATCTTCAAACTTCACAACCAACATGTATACTTAATGACGAACGAACAACTTTAACAACTAATACGTATAGTTAGCAACCAAAACGTAAGCAGTAGATTTAGCAACGGATTCATAACCATAACAACTGATCTTCAAACTTCGCAACCAACACGTATATTTAACGACGAACCAACAACTTTAACAACTAATATGTATAGTTAGCAACCAAAATATAAGCAGTAGATTTAGCAACGGATTCATAACCATAACAACTGATCTTCAAACTTCACAACCAACCCGTATACGTAACGTCGAACTAACAACTTTAACAACTACTACGTATAGTTAGCAACCAAAACGTAAGAGTGATTTCAGAAGAATAAAAAAGATAAGGACCAATTCAGTGAATCGTAAGCCTCATCATCGTCACCGAACAGGTCCTATTGAGCTGTCTCCTTGCCCCACCACGCTTTACTGTAGTTAATCTTGATGCCAAAATTAGAGAGCATGTCGTTTTTTATATCAACTGCACGAAGATCTGGCCTAACCTTCAAAACATTTTGTATTTGGCTAGCAATGAACTTCCTTGATGCACTTGAGTTGCCAGCATTTGCTCCATGTTGACTGCATGTATGGGTAGATTCGAAATTCTTTATGGACATGATAGACGAATTTCTGAGCGGGAAAGCAAACAACATCCAAGGGCAACCATGTGTGTGCTTGAATCGGCAATAGACTCTTATGCGCTTTTGTTCATTGTGGTAAAAATCATACTCGAACCGTTTAGCAATTGAATAGTATTGAAGTGCTAATCTAACTTCAGCAACACTATCAAATTTCTAACCAACTTCACGTATGGAGGTGTGCCACTCAGTTGGGAACTTTTTTGGTGATTAAGCATGTCTTCCAGTAACATGATTGAGTCACCGGTGGGGTTGTCATTAGGAATACGTTCATCATTACAGGTTTGGGTAAACATGGTATCTGCATACCGTGAATTTTCTGTCGGTATTATCCTGAAGTAGTAATAAAAATACATAGCCTCAGCAACGAACTGATAACCTTAACAACGAACTCATAAACGTAACAACCAACACATATCCTTAACAACTAACCCTTATACTTAAGGACAAACCCGTGACCTTAACAAAAAACGCATATACTTAACATCAAATACCTTATCATAGCAACCAATTAGTATACGTAACAGCGAACAAATAACCTTAACAACCAGTGCTTAACATAACCTTAACAACCAACTTATTACCTAAGAAACCAATGCATAAGGTTAACAACTAATGGCAAAACCTATCAGTGAACTCAAAAGGAAATCTAGAGTGTAATTCATACGCAGTTTCTGACATAGTCTGCGTGTTTTACGAAGTTGGGGATTCCCCAGCGGATGTAGCATACAAATTTGCGTCTGTAAATCCATTACGCCGACAATACTCGAACATCAAATTTAAGTCATCGTCATTGTCAATTGAAATACTGAATTTCTTTTCCCTTTCGCATATGAACTTATCAAATTTAAGTCATCGTCATTGTCAATTGAAATACTGAATTTCTTTTCCCTTTCGCATATGAACTTCAATGAAAGAGATTGCATTGGTATTTCAAGCCTTTCCGACACTTGATATTTCAAGGTGATTATTTTTGTATTCTCTTTGATAAATACATCGTCACCACCTTTTGTTGCTTTTTGTCTTCGTTACCACGCATAGAAGAGATCCATCCGTCATTTTATTACATAAAGTAGTTAAAGAATCGAAGAGGCTTTTATTAAGGAGAATTAAGTAGAATGAACAAATTAGTTGGGGTAATAGAATGGGGAGGAACTCAGCGATTTTATTACGGCTGGAAGCGGAATATATCTGGTGATAATTTTGAAGGGATATGGGAATTCCCCCCCCTAAAAAAAATCATTCTAATCACCATTTAATGCCTACAGTCGAAACGTTATGTTTCCGACGTGAGAGGGCGACGAACACAGGCTGTGAAGGGTATTTTGGACATTTCGAGAGGGGTTTAAACGGAGTTACGCCTGGGGATTCGTTTTGGGGGCTGGAAGAAAATCGCGGGCGATTTTGGGGGCAAAGCACCCGTTGAAAAAGTCTTGGGAGGGGGGAGCACGTTTTAAGAAAATCGCGGGCGATTTTGGGGGCAAAGCACCCGTTGAAAAAGTCTTGGGAGGGGGGAGCACGTTTTTTTGTGTTTTGGGGGCTGAAAGTATTTTTTCCTATATTAAAACAAACAGCAATTTTTTTTTGTGGAGAGACTTTTCACCGAAGTCCTTGGTATTTCTTTCTTATTCTTCAAAGTCCTTCCCATTATTATGACCGCAATAGTGGGGGAGGGGCAGTTGAACTTGCCAGCGGTTACCTTTTCCCTTATAAAGTCCCTTAATAAGCCAAAAAGAAGTTCCAACCCCCTTCCCTCGCTCTCTCGCTCCTCCCCTCTTATTTAGCTTCCATCTCGCCCCGAAACTCGTCCAAAATCAGAGCAAACAAGCGTCCGCTCTCCACTTAACGCTCGCCTCTAGGTGCTTTTTGCAGTCTTTCATCTTTAATTAAACCCTCTCTTCTTAAAACCTACAGACGACGAAGAGAGGGAGAGGGAAACCATGGAGAGTGGCTTCAACCGCCCTAGCCGGTGCGTTAAAATTTTAATCTGCCCTCCACTTTCCACTTATCAAACCACATACCCAACTTCCCCTCCCCCTCCCTCCCTCTCCGTCCCTCTCCTCCCCAGCTTCCTCCTTCTCCCTCTCCCCTCCCCACCCTCGAAACCGCCATTCATGACGCCATCTCTGGCGAACCCTAACCTACTCCTCCCTCCGAAACCTCACCTCTATCCATCGGCACTCCCTTCGCTCTCGAGGCCTCAACCACGGTGACGTCGTCCTCCTCCTCTCCCCGAATTCCTCCACTTCCCCGCCCTCTCCCTCGCCGTCCTCTCCCTCGGCGCCATCTTTTCCCCCGCCAACTCCCTCCACACCCGCTCCGAGCTCTCCCTCCAGATCCAAGACTCCGACCCCTCCCTCATCCTCGTCACCTCCGACCTCCACCCTAAGGTCGAAAACCTCGGTAAGAAAATCATCCTCATTGAACCCTTCCTCGCCTCTCTCGCCACCGACCTCACCCCAATCCCAACCCTAGTCTCCCAGTCCGATGTGGCTGCCCTCATGTACTCTTCCGGCACAACCGGAAAGAGCAAAGGCGTAAAATGCTCACATTCTAATCTCATTGCGATGTCGACGGTGCTGCAACACATTTGGGGAGGCTCCTCCTCCTCATCGTCTCAAGTTTACGCTTGCGTCGTGCCGCTATTTCATATGTTCGGGTTTTCCGTGTTTGTGTGCGGGGCGATGGCAGCGGGGGCCACGGTGGTGGTGATGAGGAAGTATAGCCTTGAGGATGTGCTGATGGCGGTGGAGGAGCGGCGGTGCCGCCGATGGTGGTGCAGATGGTTAGGAGTGGGGAGGTGGTGAAGGGATACGATCTGGGGAGTTTGAAGGAGGTGATTTGTTCAGGGGCGCCGCTGGCGAGGGAGCACATGGAGAAGTTTGTGGAGCGTTTCCCCGAGATTACCCTTACTCAGGTTAGGCTTGATTTTGGCGCCTAGTTAGGGAGTTTTAAACATTTCTTCACTTTTCAGACGCTTTAAACAGTCTAATAACTCGCTTTGATGAGTCCCCTGAAACCTAGCACCAAGCTAGGGATCATGGCTGCTTAGCTGAGTGGACAGTAAGTGAATACGTTCAATAACTGAAATATGACAATCTACCGTACGTTCATACCTATCATATATGATAAATACTAACCAAATTCAGATAACACCAAATTTATAACGTATATCTTTATAACAATAAAAGAATTTAAAAAGTAATAATAATAATAATAAAACGGCGTAAATATGTGAGATTGATGTATTCGTAATACAAAATTCACATAGCATAGTTGCTAGTTTTCACGAGTAGGATGCGCAACAAATAGCAGCTACACGTTACTTTAAACATAGAGGGAGCAATAATAATGTACAAATGATATATATTAATAATAAGGGGAGTTTGAGCAAGGCTACTGCTAATAGTATCTAACATGCGAATACCATCTAAATTAAAAATCATATGCGAAAATTGTGAATCCAAACCCTTAATGCGATCTGATACACATATTTTGGATCACGGATCAAGGGGTAAAATATTGGACAACTTTTAAAAATTCCGAATAGTTGATTGGGATGACATATGACACGTGGGCAAAATATGTCAAAATCCTTCAAAATTTTGACGTCTAGATATAGCTGATGTATAATAGATCACATCTAACGGTTTGAATTCCCAATTCTCATACCCGTAGCTTTCAGTTTGGGTTGTAGCATTCTCATGTTAGATACTAATAATAGTAGCCCAGCTCAAATCATGATAAGGAAGCTTATAATGAACAAATAAACGAAACGCAACATTTGCATCGAGTCTGTGCACACATGGACCTACTGGACTCTTACACAAATATTGATTATCACTATCCCATACTAAGTAAGTGGCAGCAGATACAAAAGGGATGCATCATGCATATACTTTGATACCCATTTACATACTTAACCTAAACAAAGAGAAGAAAGGTCTCGGTGACCCAGATGGTCAAGGCTACCGCATAAAGCACAACAACACGGGTCTTTTCAAAAGGTCAGATCACACAGTACTTGCTGAAGTTGGTAAGAGTAGTAAACCTGATGGTCTGGCATCATAAATGCATGTGATAATGTGGTGATTACGCATATATCTGATCTGAGGCATAAAAAGTGAGAAGCCATAACACCAAATTTGCTGATCCAATAATAAAATCTGATAAATACTTGTCTTAAGGTTATCAAACCGACAATTTTCTATACTCTAGTTAAGGGACCGGAGGGTCGTTGTTGAACTGTTACAAGCTATTTCAGCAAGTAAATCATAAAAGAATAAGATGTTCCAAAGTTATATACATGGGAAAATTACGTCAAGGCCCCTAAAGCAAAATCTTCATGTGCTGCAGCCCCTTTGACTTTTCCCCGTGTGATTCATCCCTTAAATTAGAGATCTATGTTCTGCACCCCTCTTTTAACAACAATCAAATTGGCCTAAACATGAAGTAAATTTGGACTTAACATGAAAATAGACTTAACATGAAATAAGTCTAATTTAACTTATTTTTAGACTTAAAATAAATTAAATTAGACATAGCATGATTTAAATTAGACTTAAAAAGAATTAAATTAGACTTAATATGAATTAAATTGGACTTAACATGAAATTAGACTTAAAACAAGTTGAATTAGACTTAAAATGAATTAAATTAGACTTAAAATGATTTAATTTAGACTTAACAAGATTTAAATTAGACTTAAACCAATTTAAATTAGACTTAAAATAATTTAAACTGGACATAACACGAATCAAACTGGACTTAACATGAACTAAACTGGACTTAACATGAACTAAATTGGATTAAGATTAAACTTAAAATGAATTAAATTAGACTTAACATGAAATTAGACTTAAAACAAGTTGAATTAGACTTAATATGAATTAAATTAGACTTGAAACAAGTTGAATTAGACATGCATGATTTAAATTAGACTTAAAAAAAATAAAATTAGACTTAACATGAACCAAATTAAACTTAACATAAAATGAACTTTCATGTTAAGTCTAATTCGGTTCATGTTAAGTCTAATTTTATTCGGTTCATGTTAATTCTAATTCAGTTCATATTAAGTCTAATTCAACTTGCTTTTAGACTTAACATAAAGAATAGAGGAGATAAGAGCATTTTGGGGTTTTTATTCTTTGTCTATGCTTAGTTGGCATGCAATAATTGCTAAAAGAGGGGTGCAGAACATAGATCTCGAATTTAAGGGCTGAACCACATGGGAAAAAATCAAAGGGACTGAAGCATGTGAAGATTTTGCTTTTGGAGCATTGACATTGTTTTCCCTATATACATCCCCACTCCCCACCCAAAAATAAAACACCCTTATTTTATATTCAAAATTTTACCAGAATTTGTTAGTGTGGAAGTGGATCCACAGAGCTCCAGACCATACAGGGCAACAATGGGGCAAAAACCGAATCATAAATAAGTTGGTTGAAACATGATGAGCCAACGACCCAGGCAAATTTAAGTGATCACATGCAGTGACTTGAAATTTGGGACCAAAGCCTGCTGCAAGTTCTAGCAAAGCAGCCACTGGCAATGGAAATTTACTAGCCTGGGTATCTCTTAGTTGGCATACTACAGGATTCAGATCCAGTAAATTGCAATAAAGAGCAATTCTAACTGTTCTATTTTTCGCCATACAAATGTTTATGTTTCTGAAGTTTTTCAAGAAGGGTTTTTGATAAAGTTCAAAACTTGCAAGCCAAAACAAGATATTTACGATACTGTGGACGCTATCACAATAATTGAGTTCTTGTAAACTCTATCCACACCTAGAAGTACCATAAGAACACTAATGAATAAAAGTAATCGCAGTATTGCAGATGAGTACCAAAATTTAATTCTTCATGTTTCCGGGTTATTATACAGTATAAAAGATGATTATCTTGCTTTCTTTAGATTAAAGGTATATCAGATGCAAGTCTTACCTATATCACCAGAGTTTCTACTGATTGTATTTCCTTGGAAATTGGCATCAAATATTCATCAAAAATATCAGTACTGACCCTATGTTGTGTTACAGTGTTACGGTCTAACTGAAACAAGCGGACCCATAACACTCTGCGACGGGATTAAAAGTAAGTATCATCTCTCTATTGGAAGGTTGATTCCACTAATCGAAGCCAAAATTGTGGACATTCGCACCGGAAAAGCTCTTCCCCCAAACAAATATGGAGAATTACGTGTCCGTGGCCCTCCAGTCATGCAAGGTATTAGTTAAACACATATAAATGCAAGTATATGTATGTGAAAATTTGACTCAAACCATGAATACAACTGCAACATATACCAACTAATATTGGTCCAAAAAATTCAAGGTTACTTGAAGAACCCAGAGGCCACATCAGTAGCCATTGATGAAAAAGGGTGGCTGCGTACTGGTGATTTATGCTATATTGACTTGCGAGGACTTGTATATGTCGTCGATAGGATAAAAGAACTTATCAAGTACAAAGCTTATCAGGTGAAAGTGTGACAATATACATTCATGTGGGATTTCACGTTTCACAATTCTCTGTGTAACAAGTCAATTCTAAATGTTGGTCTACTCTAAAATTGTAGGTAGCACCTGCTGAGCTAGAAGAGATTTTATCCACTCATCCAGACATCAGTGATGTTGCTGTCACGTCGTGAGTGATTACTTTTTTTTTTTTTTTTGAAATGCTCAAATAGTGACACTCAACTTAAAATATGAATATAGATACCCAGATGAGGAGGCAGGAGAGATCCCCATGGCTTGTGTAGTGAGAAAGCCCGGAAACAAAATCAGAGAAGAAGACATCATCTCTTTCATGGAGAATAAGGTAATAATTCCATATGAATTTTTGAGATCCCCTGAGAATTAACTAAAACAAGAAGCCAACTAGTTCTACCTTACAACACAATGAAAGGAGGAAGAACGAATAACAGATGAATATCACCCTCAATTATACAAGTACATTATCCTTTAAACTGAAGTGTTATAACATGAGAGATTTCTGACCTTGTAGACCTGGATTTTTGAAGTTTCTTATCCTTTAAATAGTTGAAGCTCATTCCCCTTCAGAAAGTATTTTATCACCATTTTTCACCAACTACCACCTGTCCAAAATCAATGGTATCTCAGTAAATGATAATATGCAGCGCGCAAATATATATCAAACAATACATTGATAAACTACAACTTTTATAGTACTAAAGTGTCTACGGATAAAGATCCTAAAATTTTATTATCAATATACAAGCAGAGAATGATACCACTAGGCGGTAGACATGTCAGTATTTACGTGCATAAAGATGGGAACCAAAATGGTTAGTTTAATGAATACAAATAGTTTGAAAGTCTACAAATAAAACATATGATGCTGGATATTTATGACCTAAGTAGGAAGCATGTCAACGAATACATAGAGCTTCAAAAACACATGAAATTCTCGGTTACGAACTTTTGGTTAAGAGGCAAGTGCATGCTTGCTTGAAACAATAAATTTAGGTTTTATACTTAAAATAGAATTATATACAGTGGTTATATAAATGTTTATAACCTAAATTTCATCTTTCCTTAGGTGGCTCCATACAAGAAAATTAGGAAAGTGCTATTCGTGGAGTATATACCAAGGTCCCCTTCAGGAAAGATCCTTCGGAGGCATCTCAAGACAACAAATTTGCAGCACGAAAGGGTAGAAATTTCAGCTAGGCTATAATACAGAACGTATTCTTTGGTCTCTCCATTCATTTAAACCTAAAGATTGATTCTGAATAGTCAATAATTGTGGAAAATGTATGTTATATCTTTGCAATTAATTACATTGATTTCTGTATCATGCTTCTTTGTATCTCAGACAGTACTAAATTGAGTTGTTTCACTTTCACTTAAATTACCAACTAAAATGAGTCTTTTACTTTTCAGTTCTCATAAGGTGTACAGTTGTCTTTATTTTTAATGGAGAAAGATGCCGAGGTTACTTACAAATATACGTGTGCACGTGTATGGAAGTTGCAGATAACCCTTCTGATCTATACCTTTATTCTCAACAAATACTCAACACTACTCAATTCATAAGTGAAAGGTGGTTATATGCAATAGTTGAGGGGTGATACATGCTATTTAAGGTATGAATGATGGGGATGTCTGCAATTTACCCATACACACACAAACATAACACTCATTCACTCCATATCACAAGAATAACATAATTACAAATTCAAATTCAAAGTAAAACAAAAAAAAAAACCCCAAGAAAAAACCAACACTAACTCAACCACAGGCACACGTAGTGCAATGGAAGAATTGCTCCTACTGTTTTTTCCCCAACTAATTTTACAGTCACATCAACTTTCTATTTGCATGGCTTGTAGAAAAAAAAGAACATCAAATGATGGAAACATATCTTCATTTTTTATTTCAAAAACTTAGCACAGAGAAGAATCAATTTGCAGGAAGAAAAGTTTAAAAGGCCTCTAATTTCTTCCGCTTGCTACTCCAGATTCTTCTCTGGTAATGAGAGTAAGGAAGCAATTTCTTCTCTCTCTTTCTTCTACTAGCTTTCCATGTAAGCTAAACTGCTAAGTGGGCCCTATGATCTCTTTGAATACCAGAGGCATGTATATGCTTAGAGAATAGTCTGGAGATGTAAATTCCAAATTGTTTCTCTAGATCTGGTTTAAATAAATCCTCATCTACTGCACTTCAAGCCTAGGTTCCTTGTCTAAATAGCATTTCCTGATCAATCCGAAGGTTATTAATCCCCCAAATCATCCAATCTTATGCATTTAAAATTGAGGTCCTGATTTGTAGACGCCAGGGCATTTATTGTGAATACCATACATTATTTTCTTTCTTTTTTTTTATTTCGCATTTGCACAGTATCCCACCTGGAAGGTATAGACTGTTCTATTTTGTTCCTAAAGCCAAAAGTCCAATGCCTTAGGATCTGAGAGCTCTTGGACTATAGTAACTACAACTACTTAGGAATAGACCCATAAGTAATTGTGATAGCATGTGATGCTACATAAATACAAGTATAAATGCTTATGTGCGTACTATTTTTTTATTATTGTATATTCAAACAAGTTGACATATATCCTAGGGATTCCCATCCAAACAAATGCAGTTGTTAGCCAAAGGAATATATAGTGAAGCTCCTATATTTCTAAGGAATTGTAACTGGAAAGATTCTCTCAAACTTGTTCTCCAAAGAGACAATGCAATAGACCAAATCATCAATTTGCACCCTCCCAATTGGATGGAATCTAATAAAGCAAATGGCCCTCCGCATGCCTCCCCATTCCTCTTTCAACTACTGTTTCTCCCTAGTCCCTCCCCATTGTCCCACATAGACAGCCTTCACTGCTGCCACTCCTCACCTTTGCCGACCTCCAAGGTCTTACCATTCTAGCAGCAAACTACTAAAAACCTCATCAAGAATTTCATTAACTCTGGATCAAAGTTGCTAATTTAAGAGAAGAATAATTGTCAAACCATTTCATAACTAAGAAAGATATAGAACGATAAAAATTTAGACGTTCAAAATTATAAGGAAATAATATTCATTTCTAATTACTTATCTAGGAAAATTAGGAGACCATGGCATCAGCTTAAGGAATCAGAGGATTGATGGGTATCCATAATCCATAATATTAAATACAATGCTCCAATTGAAAAATGGGAATCCATGTGTAGGCGCTTTGACAAGGAGGGCCAGAGAATCAGTGACATTTGGTGAGAAATCCAGGAGATAAGGAAGATATGGCAATCAAGGTCAGGAAGCTCCATTCCAAATCTACATGTTACTAAATTTTTTATACTCTAGTTTTTTATGCTGAAAGTATATGCTAATACGCTGTTGGTGTTGAATAAATTGTATACTTCATTTTAGTGAACCGTGTTCCTGCAACTACAAAAACACAAAAAAATATTTTCTGAAACCCCATAGGTGGAGCTGCACACAAGCAACAGTGGGATGAATGCAGCCCTAAACAGGGAACTGTGTTCCGTTGGAAATGCACCTAAGATCCAAACCAAAAAACAATTGTTGTAAGGTCCTTAGCATGTGTCTATGAGCTAGTAGAAGAATGAAAAAAGGTAAAATAATTACCCGATTCACAGTTAACAAATTTACTTGATCATCAATAAAGTTTACAGGACGAAGTATTGTGAGCTCTCTAATCATGTTTTACTTTAAAGTTTCATTACTTTCTGGCTGCCAGTAAAATTTTGGTAGTTTTGGGTGTTGCTAGGTGCCATCATCTGATCTTTCCGATCAACTTGAGAACATACGTGTGCTTAACAAACATATACTTCAAACTCCATCAATGAAATCAATGGTCCACAAATTTCACTCCCTTTTGGGCTTGTTGGATGTTTTTTCCGTTTATTAAATTTCTCTGGTAGAGACCATACAAAGAATATTGGTACTGTACAACATACTTGAGGTGAGAGACTGATGAAAACATAAATTGCACATCTGGATTCATCCCAACAAAAATAAACAGTTTAATATCAGTATGATGCTGTACGAGAGAAGGTGACAGAGAAGAAATATCACCAGGAGATTACAACGGCGCCAATGTGACAACAGATACAGAATATAACACAAAGCATCAGGGGTGAAATGATGTTAATCCCATAAATGACAGATATACTACTATAGCTATTAACTAAACTTATTGCTGAAGAAAAACATATGATGTTCTATGTTTCAAGTAATAATATTCCCGAGATTAACAAATTGGATAACAGATTTTGGCAGAAATTTATTAATACAGGTTAAATAATGTTCAATGTTCCCCATATAATGTAATAATTGACGTCCGAGTCGAATTTAGTACTAAGAAGACAATTCAAATTGTAATAGTTGGATAATACTGCTTTTATATGCGAACCTTTGAGATCCCCAACATTGTAAATGATCACCACATCTACTTAGTTACCCAACTCCCAGGTCACCACCTTACCATCCAAACCTGTCACATATAATATAGCATAAGCAACTTTGTTCGTCATATTAAGTAAACAAAGGAAATTTGAAATTTCCAACCTGAGGTGCTAAACCGCTTCAAGCTCATGTCCCCTCCTTTGCTTAAAGGTACAATGCAACTGAAATTTCCCACAAACAGAATCACAAAATACTCGAAGAAAGAGAGTGTGTGTGTGTGAGGAAAATGGGTATCCTTGGTACCAAGGACAAATTTAGTCCTTGCTAGTGAGGAAAATATACCCCATTAATTAATAATATAACTTGAAAAATCCCCCGCTTTTGATGAGTGGATGAGAATGAGTCACCTCCGTTCTCAGGACTAAAGTTGGTCCTTGGTACCAAGAATACTCATTTTCCTCTCTCTATATGTGTGTGTGCATGCTACATATATATGTGCCTTCATGTGCCTGTGCGTGTGGGCACGGTTAAAATACACACAAGGTGTAATTAAGCTAGTTACAAACACCTATAAGAATACATGTTTGATCATCAATATTAATAATCTATACCATTCATTGTGATCTGTGCATTCAAAGCTTTATGTAGCTAAGCAATAACATAGATTCAATATTTCTAGTTTATACATCTAATGACTTAGAAATGAACGGTTTGTAACAGTTTCAGATGTCGGTTATTTTGAGTTGCTTAAATTGTAGATAGAAAAGTTTAGACCACATGATTTTTGAGCCACATAGATTTGATGACATGTAGGTAGCAATAAACAATTTGGATTTACAATATAGATGGTCAAACATGTATTTTTACAAGTGTGTTCAACAACTTAATTACACCATGTGTGTAGAGAGAGAAATGAGTATACCTCGTACCAATCACAAATTGAATAAGTTTATATATAGAGAGAGGGGGAAGGCGAGAAAATGAGTATATTACTACCAAGCACATGAATTGTTGAGGGGAAGGGGGGGGGGGGGGGGGGGGGGGGGGGGTTTGGTTTTAGTGACGGTGATGCTTCTCATCCACACAACTTGAAGGTGCCATTTAAAATAGTGCCCACTTGATAACCCATCATTAAATGAGTGAATGAGAAGTAGCCAAATCACTACCGAGCATCACAATTTGGTGGTTGGTGCCAAGTATACCAATATGTGGTTGTGCTGTGAATATATATATATATATATATATATATATATATATATATATATATATATATATATATGTGTGGTGTGTGTGTGTGTGTGTGTGTAAATGTTTGTGTCTGTATGTGTATATATGTGTGTGTGTGTATGTATATGTATGTATATATGTATGTATATGTATGTATATATATATGTGTGTGTGTGCGCGCGCGCGCACATGTGTATGGAAATAATGAGTATGAGATGGTGGCTCAATTTGCAAAATGAGCTATCATATAGATAATCATGTGATAGAGAGAGAAATGAGTATTACTGATACTCGGAACAAACTTGGTCCTCGGTATTGAGGTGACCACATCTCAATCATCCGTCTACATAGTCCCTACTTCAAAATGATCCTCCCACTTAATTAATAATCGTGCTTGAAAATGGTCTGCATCTTAGATGAGTGGATGAGAGATGGACACATCACTACTAAGGATACCCATATCCTCCCTTATACACACACACATATGGAGAAGTGTCCATGAGAGAGAGAAATGAGTGTCCTTGATACCAAGGACAACATAGATGTTTGATACTGATGTGGTCTCCAAACCCAATTGAAAATGGTCTCCACTTGATAAGTCACTAATTGAATGAGTGGATAAGAAGAAATCACATCACTATCAAGAACCAGGTCCTAGCTACCAAGGATAATTATATGAGTATACTTGACACCAAACACCAAATTTAGTGCTTAGTAGTATACTTATTTAATGGGTGGGTAATCAAGTGGAGACCATTTTTAAATGGGCACCTTTAAATGTATGGATGAGAAGCATCTGCATCACTACCAATCAACAATGTTGTGCTTGGTAATAAGTATACTCATTTTTCTTCCCATATATGTGTGTGTACATGCGCGCGCGTGTATAAACATACATATATACATATATATACATATATGTATATATACATAGAGATATACTGCTTGGTACCAAATAAAAACTTGATGCTTGATAGAGAGGTAGCTCATTCCCATTCATTTACTTAAAGGGAGGGGCCACAATCACATGGATGCACATGAGTTGAATAATTAATGGGTGGTTATCTTCAAGTGGGGATCATTTGAATGAGTGGAAGAGAATGAGTCACCTCACTACCAAACACCAAGTTTGTGCTTGGTAAGAAGCATATCCATTTTTCTTATATACATGTGTCTGTAGTAAAGGTAGAATAACTTAAGTGGACAGGAGCTTGTATCCACCATCTTTGTTATTATTTAATTTTTCTTTGAGATTCGTGCTACAAATCAAGACTACCTTTGAGACGTGCATTAATTTGAATCACATGGTAGCACAAATATCAAAGCAAAATAAAAGGTTAAACAAGTTGGTGGACAACAAGCTCCAATCCACTTAAGTTTACAAAAGCTTAACACACACACTCTCTCTCTCTCTCTCTCTCTATATATATATATATATATATATATATATATATATATATATATAGAGAAGAGAGAGAAGAAATATGGGTATGCTTGGTACCAAGCACAAAAAATTTATGCTTGATAGTGAGGTGTCAATCCCCCTCCACTCATTCAAATGTGGGAACAAATTCACATGGGTATAGGATGAGGATGTGACACATCACTACCAAGCACAAAATTTGTGCTTGGTACCAAGCATACCCATATTTCTCATATATATATATATATATATATATATATATATATATATATATATATATATATATATATATATATATATATGAAATTGTTCCTAAAAGTGACACCTTAGATTCAATCTAAGAAAGCACCTTCAAAACCACATTATATGCAATCAATTTACTTGATCCACTCCGTTCATTTTAATTTATATGTTTTGAATTGTATATAACAAAAAATTAGGTATGTTGGGTTATACTTATGCATCGAGTAATTGTAAACTTTACAGCTTTACAAGATTACAACTAAATGGACAATGAACATTTTGTGTTAGAAGTATTGAAACATTATGATTTTCGCTTTAATGATGTTTTGAGACATTTCGAACGTGTTGAATGGAGCGAAGTATTGAAACATTATGATTTTTATTTTATTAATGTTTTGAGACGTTTAGATCATGATGAATAGAGCGGATCATTTATTAGAATAGTCTAATTCATGCATCAAGAGATGCTTCCTTAGATTAAGCCTAAGTTATATATATATATATATAGTTGATCTTATGTTAACTTAAGTGGACACCAAGCATTTGTCCACCAAAATTTCTATCCACTCATTTATATATATAAAAAGACTCTTCATATCATGCAAGGATTCCTAGGCAACATGAGTGGATAGAAATTTTGGTTGGCCATCCACTTAAGTTGACATAAGAATTGCTCTATATATATATAGATACATACAATCCATGTAGAATAAACTTAAGTTGATTGAGGGCTCTATCCACCAACTTTTTATCAATTATATTTGCCTTGAGATTCGTGTTGGCATGTGATACCTTCAAGGCTATCTGTGAAATGTGTGCCTTGATATGTATCACATGCTAATAAGAATCTCAATGTAAATCTAAATGATAAAAAAATGGATGGACAAAAGTTTCTATCCACTTAAGTCTACATGAGCTTTACTCCATATATATGTGTCTGTTTGTGTACGAAGGGAGGGAGAGGGGAAGAGAGAGAGAGAGAGATTGTGTGTGCAATGTAAATGAACTTACGTAATGCAGTTCTCATGGGCCCCTCCACGAGGCTTTGAATGGTCAAGTGTTTCAGAGCTGACTCCATATTTAGATTGTCCATAAAGCTTCCCGAATGCTTCAGAAAACTGTGAGAAAGGCTCCTTTTAGTATTATTTTTTGGATAAGAACACTTCTTTTGATATCTGGCCGACGATAGTTTACAACAAGGGGAAACTTACAAAAAAACACCAGATACAACCGCTAAAGCAGCAGCCAATTTTATTGATTTCATAATATCACTAATAGTTTTGTTTTCTTGGTTATAAAAATAGAAATATATGCCCATATATATATTTAATCCATGCATGCTTTTCTAACAAAAGGGTCCTTTTTACAGAATGGCAATGCAACCAAAAATGTCGAACATAGCAGACTGTAATGCCAAAACAAGATAGTATGACTAGTAATGTTACCTCGTAAATCAATGGAATGTAAGGTAAGAAATGGATATAGCGAACATCAGGAATGACTCGATATTGAGAAATGCTCAGTTGGTTAAAAGCAAGAACACGTGCCAATGGTTACACGGATCTATGTTATATATTCAAAGCTTGATCTGATATCATGTTTTCTTCATAGAAGGAACCTTTGGCAAAACGCTAACACCAACCACCTCCAGATGATAGAACTTCATGAATGGATACAGCATCAATTAAGCAGTTAACATTCTTTTTCAATATAAAACTAGGCTACAATTTGAACTGCTAAATTCTCCATCATAGACTCAGGTGACAGTACATGCAAAGAGACCAAATTGAACTTAATTGCATAGCTAAAAATACTACAGTTTTCCACTCTCCATGAGAGCAGCCATTTGGCTTGGAAAACAACAGAAGTCATTTATAAAAAGAAAAAAAAAAGAAGAGGCAACAAACAGGAACAGATTCTTCATTATTTATGAATTCAAGTGATAGCAAAAGAATGATATAAGCTCCCGTTTGGCTTGTATTTTATGGCTTGATAAAATATAATTTCAAACAACAAACATACCTGTGAACCATATTTTGAGCTCGATTGGGTTACTTTCCTCTCATCTAGGAATTTGAGAAAGCTCCTATATGAACGAGTAACTAATTAGAACAATAAACTCCATTGCATAACAAATCTATTGAGTAAGAGAATAAAACAAATCAATGAATATTGACATTATTTATTATTTATGTAGAATCTATAAGAAATAAATAGTATATTATGATACAAGGTCGTCCATGCTCACTAATCAGGGATGGTTTCGGTGGGCACTGGGCGCTGATAGGCTTCAAAGAAGCACAGTCCAAATTTCTCCCATTGGTTGTGAAACTGATATGAAGTAAGAACTGAGATGAAGATAAGAATGCATAGCTCATAAAACATACCATAATCCGCTATCATCTTTAGTGAAAACCATGGGGTTGCAGTCAAAGCCCACACCAATAACCATTCTTTCAGAAATAAATAGAACCTATGGCATCATAAGGGTGGCATTCTAGATTAAACTAAAGAAATGATGAAGTTACAACAAAGTAAAGAAGAGAGAATATGCTGACCCACATCACGAAGAGGCAGGTCGCGGAAGGCGACACTCTGTGCACAAGGAGAAGTAAGAACATCTTCAACAAAGTATATGGTGGAATTGTGACCTGACCAGTATATAAATGGTATGTTAAATTATATATCAAATGAAAGTAGTAAGTGCATTGATCATCAAGGCTATGTTTGGTGCAGGAGAAGGTATCTTTTTATCATATATAGAACTATGACTTAATCCTCTAAGATCAAATTAACAAGAAAACATATGCAGTACTCTTTAGAACTTTTCTTGGAAGTGGCCAAAGTTCCTTTATTTTAAGCATCCAGTCAATACTCAATAGAAAGATGTCAAGTATATCATATAAACGGAATGCATAGTGATCTAGTCAAGACGATCAATCAGTGCCACAAAAGACTTTGTATGCTTCCGAGCGCCATGCCTTCTGGGAAGCTCACCTCTTTTAATTAAAATGGAAAACTTATAACTCATCTATGCCCCATGTGCTCTTCCATCTCCCACAACTAGGTCTAATCAATACCTCTCTAGTCTCTTGTCTTATGCTGCTCTTCTGCCGCCTTATCTTTGCACCAGAAAGTCTGCCTTGCCGAGAGAAAAGCGAGTTAAGCAGACAACTTATATTTAATAAATGAGTTACAGTCTCTAATTGTAACCCATTTTCCTTGTTTTCTCGTGTGCTGGAGTCACATTGGCAGCACAGAAACGATGGCGGTGGATCGAATTGGGTGTTCGGAGGGTGGAGACAGCAGCAAAACAGGTAACTTTTTTAAAGGCGAAATTGGCTAATAAAGGATTTTAACACCTAACTGGGACAGCCTACTTCGCTGGGTCTCCCAGGCCGCCTGTTTTCTCAAAATTGCAACCAGGTACCTACTTTAATTCAATGCTCTATTGTACTTTCATTGACCATGCTAGTCCATGAGTTAGACTGGAATTAATTAACTTGTGATACATGGAAAAACAACACTGCAACTTCAATACTATGCATATTTACATAAGAAAAAGGTAACAGGATCACTCGTGCAGAGTAGAAACAAAGGAAACATGGACTAAGGATACAAATAACCTACCAAAAATTCTACCCTCAACACTTGAACCTATACTTTGTACAATTTTGAGGCCAAATTTGAAAGCTGAACTGATACATTTCAGTGTAATAATTTGAATAGCTGTCTGGTTTCATTTATACTCAGATTCTCGTTTATGTTATTTGATTTATGTAAGAATTCTTTATGATTGTTATCCAACTTCATTTGGGATTGCTAGGTTCTTCCTTCAACAAAAGCAATATCAAAGTTGCTGCTTTGTCATAGTAATAAACTTAGGACTTGAGTCCTCGTTCAAAGTTAAATTCAACAGAAACCAAAAAATTAAAAACCAATATGTTTTATGTCCAATTTACCTGTATATCACATGAAAACTAACAACACGGAAAGAAGTCTAACCTGTGTAAGCCAAGGTATTGCCACTAGGAGACCATCTTACACCAAATGCCCACGTAAATGATAGATCAAGTTGACAAATTTGCTGTAAAACAATATAGTGAGGTTATGGAATGAACATCTAGTTCATTATAGTTGAAATCATGAAACTTGGGATGATCTTCCCAAGAGTAAGTTCCATCAAGAAGACAAACATAGGAGGCCCCTACGAAAGCAAGTTATTAATGTCAACGTGACTCAAGAGGATTATAAAAAAGTTCATTATGTTATTGAGGATGCAAATAAAGTAGTCAAGAAAGCAAGGCAAACTGAGACTACAGGACCCATCCATGATCTAAGACAGAATAGCAAATCAGAAATTATCTTCACCAAAGAAATGTCAAGAATGAAGAACAGAAGCAGTTGCCAAAAAAAATGTTTGTTGGAAGGATCTTACTTCACCACAATAAAACTAATTCATATTTGTGGAGCTTGAGCAAGGTCATAATAGAATGACAATAAAGGCAAGCAAAAGAAAAATAACGTTATAACATAGTGAGGCTATGACAAATAGAGGGGAGTACAGCTTGTGTACAGATTTCTCTTACTTGACAAGATTGTCACTTCTTAGTGCAAAATAAACAACCATTGTCACTTCTTACTGCAAATTAAACCATTGTCACTTCTTAGTGAAAATTAAACAACCAAACCTTAGCTAAAGAATTAAGATGATAATTAGACCTAAAATAAAATAGTAGACATCTACCCAAATTTCAAGATTATTGAATCACATGAAAATAAGGATCGCCAAATGACTCATACAACATAATCTAACTGCTTCAAAATCTATATGACAATAGAAACCGTCACATATGAGCTTTATTTGACATTTAACAAGTCACAGAAGATCAAGAAAAATAAGAATCAGCGGCTTGTTTAGCCTAATATTACGTAGACTAGTCATACTCTAAAACAAAATTACTGGCTTAGAAGAAAGATAAAAGTGATCCTCCTGTGCTCAAGCATAGAGGCTGATCAAGGTCTCTAAAATGCAAACTACTTTAACAATCTGTTAATGCATAGAGGCATGGATACGGACATGAGACCAGTTATGCGCAGATATGAACTCTGAAACGACAAGTCCAATACATTAGGACACGGTGACATGACATTAGAATATATATGATAATAAAGGGAGTTTATATATACATGCATGTACAGATATTATTCTTAAAATCCAAGACGTCAACCTACCATACATTCTTAAAATTTCATAAAGGAATATAGCTTACTCTTCAACTTTCCATAAAGTAGCTAGGTATGCATAAGCTTGTTTACTATTTTATACAAGCTAACATTTTTATGGTCTTTTAACAATGAAGTGCTGTCTCAGATGTAGTAAATGAAAATAAACAAATATAGCAAACAAGCAGTGTGAACAAAGAAGCACATAGAAAGTGTGGAATGTGTCTAAAAAGTGACCAACAATCATCTTAAATAAAACATTATATAATTCAGGATAGCGTTGTGTAACTGTCCGATGCATATCCATGCAGCGTCTTAAGATAAGCTATTTGAAGATAATGATTGTTAAATATATCAAACCTCTCCAAATTTCATATCCTGGGAAGAGCTTGCTCCCTTGTCCCTGTTCATAATAACAAAAGGTAAGCTATTTGAAGACATTGTGAATGTTCCATCGAAATCTCCTATGTTTATACCAACCTTTTGTCCACACCCTTGATAAAAGTGGAGAAAACTCGGCATTTACCATCAGCAGATGTAGTAGCAAGAAATATCTATAGTTAAACCAATGAAAAACAATAAGTACTAATTCATATTTAATTTCTTTTAAATATAAAGGTAATAAGTACAACAAACTTTCACTAATTAAACAAATAGTTAAGTAGTACAATACACAGTACTAATGGATATAGGCATTGTCTGAAGCTACCTGATTGAATTTGCTCGTGCTGGCCCAAATAAAGACCACAAATACAACAGACTTTTAACAGGGAAAAAGACAGGTAAAATAGCATATATTAGAGAATAGTCGAATACTTGTGAATATACATACTCATATGAAATGGTTTGTTGGTAAACATGTTTACACTTGTTCTGAACATGAATTAACGTTTAAAAATGAGGGCTAACTAGAAAGAACTTATTTATAGTGCAGATGAAATTTAAGAATAAATTTGGGTTTGGCAGTTTTAGAAGTCATTTTAGCAAATTTGTCAGAGTTTGTGTCTTTATATAAACACTCGACCTGATATCAATTTTACTACAACTTCCCAAAGTTTCTCTCTCTTTTGGTCAAATAATGTCATAATTAAAGTAGTTAAGCAACAGTGTACCTTGCTTTTTCAGAATATACCATGTAATGATTAAAACAGAAAAGTATTAGTTTCTCTCTCTCTCTCTCTCTCTCTCTCTCTCTCTCTCTCTCTCTCTCTCTCTCCCTCTCCCTCTCTCTCTCTCTCTCTGCATGACAGGGTAAGTACCAATTTTATAAAAAAATTCTCTCTCTCTCTCTGCATGACAGGGTAAGTATCAATTTTATCAAAAATTTCTTGACTTGCCCACTTTTAGGAACACAACATACTACTATTTTTAGGTAAGAATAAGTTTAACGTTAGCTTCCTACTTGGCTCTCTTAAGAAAAAATAGATATTGAAGGGTATAGAAATTTAATAATCATTAAATATAATTGTATTTCCCTATTTGTTTTTCTTTTCTTTTTCTTTCTTTTCCTTTTTTTTTGGTGAATGTGCATAGCATGTGCAGGGAAATCTAGTCTCATTCAAGAGTTAGTTGTTTCTGAAGAACCATATTTAAACACAAGGCAGACTTGACCAGGAATTCACAAGATGGACAGGAACTGGGCTTAGACAGCTTTACTGAAGCAGACTCCAAGAAGAGAAAGCAAGGAAAAAGAA